CCGCTTCCGTATCCTGCTCCTCCGTAGGAGGAAGCGTCAGCCTTCGCTGTGGCAGTAGACGAAGCATGGCCGCTTCCGTATCCTCCTCCTCCGTAGGAGGAAGCGTCAGCCTTCGCAGTGGCTGTAGACAAAGCATGGCCGCTTCCGTGTCCAACATTCTAATGAATGGAAAAAGGAATTCAAATTAATTTAACTTCACTATCATCATAAGTTGTAGAATCAATTATTAAAAGATCATACACTGTTCCCAAAAGCACCTGCACTAGCACTAGAATGTTGTTGTCCTGCAAACCATCAATGTTTAAAAACAGATCAATATTTAATTGAATATAACTTCAAAATGACGAATTTTCGATTTAAAAAACGTTGTCCGTGCGAACTATTCGATTGAAATCGAATTAATCATTACATTTCTTCGAAACATTTGACTGGGTTTCTGTTGCTAGTTAAATACAAAGTATGAATGAATGAGACAACATTGTTGACAGCGCACCGTCAAAGCGGTTGCCTGGTCAACTACAGTCAGTCGTAATGCAAAGTGGCACAAGCATGTCCCATTTTCTGCATCTAATCGTCGCGTTCTTTGCGTTGCGATTGACGTATGCTTCTGATTGAAAAATAAACAAATTAAAGCTAACAAGAACTTCGTAGGTTTTGTTTCGCTAGAAAACTTTGCAGTTTAATCAGAATGGAAGTATGAAGTTATTGAAAAGAATACATTTTAGAATACTGTTATAGCGAAACAAAACCTACGATTTTTTTTTAAATTTGGCTAAATATAAGTAGAAAAGGTACCTAGTTACTCTTTCAAGAAATATGTTTTCTAATTATTATTTTTTTTGAACTATTTTCCATTTGGTTATCCTTAGTTTGTTTCTTTTTCAATCACAAGCATACGTCAATGGGTTTCAGTAGTAACCAATGTGAAGTTGGCTGCGTTGCCCGGTATGCATTATGTTCACCCTTTGGTTAAATAGGAGCATGAAAATGTTTAAAATGATACCCATAAACTTGCTATGCAGAGAAAACACAAGCCAGTGCCGCGTGGCTACTTTGATTGATCATTCTCTTTACTGTCGCTTCTTCGATCGTATTATGCAGTGTGTTGAAACAAGGTCGCTTTCTTCGTATACAAATACATGGGAAAGATTTGACGTAAGACGCCAAGACGCCTCTACGCGTGGAATGCTCGAAGCTGTCATCGTACACATATTGAACACGAATATTTTCGTTTACACAATCGCACTCATACAAATGGACGCATCGATAGTGCCCGCTCAATATATGTACGATGACTGTTTTGAGTGTCCCTCGCTTTGAGGGCTGCGTGTCGTTTTCCTTCGTTCATTAAGCGATCTTGGTTGAAATGACAGCCGTACAGAGCGATGCACTGCTCTCATTAGTATGTACACTACAATCGCAGAAAGCTCCACCACGGAGGACTTTTCTCGGCCTAGCATGTATATGAGTATTATTATGGCCTCCATACTACAGGCTTTTTCAATTGTGCTGTGATGAACCCATTTTCGACTATTGTTTAAAAAAATGCATATCAAGCATGCTTCAGTTTGGAATGTTCAATAAAATTATTGAATCTAATGTTGGAATATTGGAGAATGGATCGAATGGTGCCTTTAAAAAAATTCAATTAAGTCTGTCTATCATAAGTGAAAGAAAATTGAAGCAATTCTTCTCTGCAAACACAAAATGAAACTATTTTTGCTGACTTTGGCAATCCAAAGGTAGAAGTTGATCAATTGGTTAGATTTATCTTTTTGTTTGGAATATGAAACATACCAGATTTTTGGCACGCGCAACTCTGACAATAGCCTGATTTTGCAGTTTTATGACTTGAATTGTGTTCCCTATGTTCACTATGTTCGCTGTGTTCACTATGTTGACTATGTTCACTATGCTTGGTCATCTGTTCGCTGTGTTTACTGAATTCAATGCTTGATCGTTCTTGCATCTCTTCGTGGCTCTGACTTTTTCCAAACATATGGCTCTCTGAAACGAATTTCAAATTTCAAGTAGAATTTTACTATTTTCCAGAGAATACTATGGGATATTTTTATCTCATCTATTTTCAATATGATCATAATATATGGGCATCGAGATGGATTCGTGGACAAAGAAATCTTGAAAATTCACATGATTTATCCCATTTTATGGGCAATTCATAACAAAGCAATACGTCTAACAAAGAAATCCATCAACCTAACACTTTACTCGGTATTTTCGTCTTTCTTGATAGCACACTTCCATATTTGGATATAAACTCTTTTTTTTCGCAAATTACAAATAAAAACCGATTGATAGCACTTAGAATTTAACAGTCGAAGCTTGAGCCTTGAACTAAAATAATCGAATCTAACAAGACCTAGCTGGTTAGGCTATATGATTTTTTCGATCATTGTGAAAACAAAACATTGTAAGTGAACAGTGATTTTTTGACATTTGTAAGATTATGGATGTAACGTTTAGTAAATAAGAAAAAAATGACCGTTTTATACAAAGAGAATAATTGAGGGGTTTAAAGCGAAAATGTTGTACAGAAAAGTTGAGAGGAAAAATGTAAAATGAAAAGAGATAGGTATATAGTTGCCTATAGTTTACTATACAGTTTACTATATATAGCTATCCCTTTTCCGCTCATTCATCATCGACATTTTTCCGCTCAAATTTTCTGTATAACATTTTCGCTCTAAACCCCTCAATTAGGCCAGGAATTATTCATCGCTCAGATATTTTTTTGCATAAAAAATATAAAACCTTTCACAGAGTTTCCAGAGAGCATTGCCTGCGCAGATGATTTCGCCATATTTGCCATATGCCCCATATTCGTTATTTTTTCAGAGGAGGATACACTTGAAGCCAACTCCTGGACATAAGACTTAAAAAGAAAAATAAATGAATAATGATGAAATTACATTGGCTATTGATAAAACCTGATTAAAATCACTGAAAAATGATTTAATTTTACAATCAAGTGTGTTCAGTTTTGTTTTCTCTATCACAATGCAACAGCACATTGTAAGATGATATCAAAATTCAATTTAAGAACAAAATTAATCTTTGAACGTAGTTAAGTGTGAAAACTTACTTGGGCTTCCGCCGTACTGCTCAATACCCCTCCAAAAAAGCCTTTTGCTTCGCCCATCATGACTTCATACAATAGTTCGTAAAAATAAATGTCATTGATTAAGAACTATAATTATTCAGTATATTGGTTTTCTGAACATTAGGAAAAATAACGCATTACAAGGTAAAAATTGGAAGCGTAAATTAATTCCATTGGAATGTGTTCAGTAACTGAACTTCAGTTATGGAAAAAAAAATGTGAATATTCACCTTGTGAAGATTGTTGCTGTTGTTGTGTTGACATGTGATCTTCTCCTTCTTTTTGGAATAAATTGATTATTAGACAAAGTATTCATTTAAGAAAACGGATTAAATCATTGAAATGAAATAATTGCAACAATAACCAGTACATATACATACCGCTAAAGGATCGAGACCGCTCTGAAAATCCAGAGCTGTGACTTTGGTAAACACCGCCTGCATATTTGAATTGGAGTGAATCTCATTAGAACGTGACATTTTTTTCAATTTCTTAGTTTATTTCTGTTAGAATTTTACCATTAATGGCTTGATGACTATTACTCTCATAACCAGTTCGATAACCTATTCAAAAACGACATTAGTGATTTGATCATAGATTAATCGGCTTGCTAAAATTACCTTGCGACGATTTGCCTTCACCATGACTGTTAATTACAGATCCAGTGGCGATCGTATTGGCTACTCCTCCAGCAATCTTATTAATTTGAATACCGCCAGCAGACTGAACATGAGTTCTTGCGTTTTGCAACTTTTCCCAGGTATTGGTGACTGTATTGAAAAAGAAGCCTTCATGCGTTTTGTGTGCTTCACCCATCGCAATTTTACTTGTGTGATCCTGTTTAAATTGTCCAGTAAAACCATTCTGGGAACTACCTTGACTAAAGTACTGACCTAAAAAAATGCGTATTCTTACTATATTTTGTTATCTAAATTTTGAATGACGGCTATAATCACTTTGTTGATCACCGCTGCTCATAGCTCTACTGAAACTATTACTGTCACTGCCAATGAAACCGTTGCCACCACTATAATGATTTACCTTTATGTATGAATGCAATTCCTGACCTGGAATTATGAACTAAGATTTATTCATCCACTTCTAATAATTCAACACAGAAACAAACAAACAGGAAAAGGAAATAATTTCGATCGAAACGAAACAATAATACATACTGCATCTTGGACAACGCTTCAAACATCCAAAATTATCGACGAAAAAACCGGGATCTAAAATAAATAAAATAATTACAAATATGTTTCGATTTTCTAGATAATGAAAAAAAAAATATTTATTAAATTACTTTTATTGATGACAGTGTCTTGATCAAAATGTAATGAAGATCCAGAAAAAACACTGCTAGACGACGACGACGACGACGACGACGACGACGATGAAGCTAGGCCATGAGCCTTAAATAGGAAAATAAATTTGCTTATGAAAACATGTATAAATATTTATTGTACGATTGAAAAATGACGGAGATTCAATTCTGCAATCAAATGTGTTTAGTTTTGTTTTCTCTATCTCAATGTTGCAAATTGTAATGCGATATCAAAATTCAATATAATAACACAAAAAATCTTTGAACGTAGTTAAGTGCGTAATCTTACTTGGGCTTTCGCCATACTGCTCGATGCCCCTCCAAAAATGCCTTTTATCTTGCCAAACATTCTTCCTTCGTACAATAATTCGTAAAAATACATGTCATTTAAAAAATAGTGATTATTCAACGTATTGATTTTATGCACATTAGGAAAAATGATACTTTGCAAGGAAAAAAGTGGAAGCGGAAATTAAATTCAATATAAAATTAAATGTAAACGTATAACGCGCCTGTTCCTGTTCCTGTACCTGTTGATGCTGATTTATATAGAGCGTTGACGGGCTGAATCGATTCTAAAATACAAAACTGGGCCGTAATCTAAATTATCAATAAAACGAAAAAAAAAAAATTAAAACTGGATGAAGTCACGTTTCACTAGTCGAAAAAAACAATTGCACTCACCGCCAGAACAATGGCAACAACGTTAAACATCGCCATTATAAAAGAAAAAAGAAGAAAAAACGTCTAAATTTCCCTATCAATTTAACTGTTTGATTCAGCAAAAAGAAAAAAATAAATGCGAAATGGTTGAACGTTTCAAAGTTCGGATCACTAGTTGTATGGGACCATGAACTCCTATTTATATGCTTTATTCTTCATCTTGGCAATGGTGTACACGTAATTCGAATGAAAAATGAGAAAAATCAATATTGAAAGTGTTTTTGGAACTCGTGCGGAATAGACGATGAAAATCGATTTAATTCACCTGAACAAATAAGTTCAAAGCGATCGATTAATAACATGCTTAGTGGCAATTTTCGAAAGTTCGATATTTTTCGTGGTTCTACATGCCACGATCATTCCAGAAATACGTGATGTTTTATAGGATAGATGTTTTGTTTTTTCCAATGTTGTTTACATTTAGCTTCTTATCGCACAAGCAATGAAACAGGAATTTGCACCTATTACGTCTTTGAATGTCACAAGTACAAAAACATTCCTTGAAACTCATGCGCAGTTCGCCACCAAAAAGAAAACAAAAAAAAAACTAACGATTAGTAAAGATGAAGAGATAAACATTTAATAATTCACATCATAAATGGTTTTCTCTTTTGAAATTTCATCAAATTTCAAAATGGCTGTTGGTCTGATGATGGATAGATTCGGCATTATTTTTTTCTATGCTAAAAATGATTTTTCAACACAGTGTAACCTAAATTGATTGAAATCGAAAGGATTGTGTCATTATTCGTAAGAAAAAAAAACATTCAATCGAATCATTTAGTTTCACCCGAAACCAGTTTAATTTTCAATTGAATTGAACATCGAAGGAAAAAAAAAGTCCACTAGCCTCTCCAATTCAAAAAAGCATCTTTTTCGTTGAGTGAAAAAAAGAATGTCGTTTCGTTTGGGCTGAACAATTTCGTTTGATGGTTGTAATCTTGTTGTTGTTTTTTTCATGGGCCGAGTGTTATGTTATTGTTGAACGATAAAAGACATAGCGTATGGAACAATCGCTACTTATTCATCTCATCGTTTATTTGCTTACTGCCTTTAATTCTTGATAATTTTAATGCATCGCTCCGTTAGACCTGACATAAGTCTGAGCTTCAAGCAAATCCGTTATAAATTATATGTATAATTGGGAAACGAATCATATCCCGTCCCCTTCAAAGCGAAAAAAGAACCAACAACCATGTGTTTGTTTCATCTCTTCTTTTCGCTCTCTGTGTGTGTTCAGTTGTTTGGTGGCGTGTATTTTGAGTCTCTGAATAAATTCATCATCCTATTATACACAGTACATTTGGCCGTTATGTGCGCGCGACACATCCCCAAAAACTGCAAGCCTCCTTTTTCACTCTCACTTCCATTCTGCCACCCTCTCTCTCTCTCTCTCGGGTTCCGTTTATCGATGTGTTTCTCCTATGCACAGTGCACATTGCGTATTTTTCGTATATATATTTTCGGGGACACTCTGTGCACACATCTAAATAAACAGTGTACATGTACACATCCATTTAACCATTCATCCATCCATGAAAGCACAGTATACGCGCATACAATTCGGGATTGTAAATGCTCATTAACTACCAAACTTTAAATGTATTCATCAAATTTATCGCTTGGGAATTGTTTAGCGCGTTTGAAACTTTTCATTGTATAGAGCACAACAACAACGGCAACAACGACGACGGTGGCATCGACAGCAACAGTGGAAAAATTCGTGTTTGCTTTTTCGCGGACTTATACATATATCGAATTTTAAAGCCGGAGCCAAACAACATCTTCACTCCAACTAAATGATAAACAATAACATTGGCTCGTGCTGAGACTGTGGAATGCGGCAAACAACGCAATATCACTGTTTGGTATTTATTGGAACGAAGAGCAGCAGCAACAACCAAAAACCATTCGGCGTGAGTCCGAGAAAGAGAGAGATAGATCGGATGAAAAACATCACAAATATATGCCTGCATCGTCCATGACTTGTGGTATTGCGCATTTTCATCGCATTTGCCAGACAGATCGAGGCGAAAACTTTTCACTCAAATCACTTGATAAACTAAACGAAACGAAACGAAAACCGTCTGACGGTTGAGCTGCAAGAAATTGCCAAAATGCATATTTATTGATGTGTGTTATAAAATCAAATAGCTCGCATTCGGCTATAGCTTTATTTGTCAGTTGGGAGCATACTTGTTTGGCAAGATGTGATGAAGGCAACTTTTGATGTGCATGCAACATTGCTGCCGTTTTGATGTTTCTCCTATTTTTTTGTTCTGCCTTCTTCATCGTTTTCATCATCTTTTTGCTCCTGTTGTTGTTGTTCTTCTCGCTGTCATTGTTTTGGGTGCATTTTAAATCTGACAGTATTTGAAGCGATATGAACGAACCACCCAATATCGCACTTTGTTCACTGGTTTCGCCAAACCAGTTGCAAGTGTCAACGATGAGTTTCTTCGGTGAATGAATCACTTTCTAGTTCATCGTTCGGTGTCGTCACATCATCATCTCGAGAATTTGAAGCCAACCATTTAACCATTCATTAACATCAAACCATCAGACAAGACAGACAGTCTAGTCGAGTCAATACATTTGCATTTCGATTTTGTCGTCGAAAATCTTACTTTGAACTTTTGCAAAAGCTAAAACGACACATTTGCTTGTGATTGACTATTGATCCCCCTTTGTGGCATGCATATAATCAAGCCGAAATAAAATCATCCATCATCAAGATTTAATGCAAATATTTGCGTCAGTAAAGGAAGATTCATTAAAACTTTGCACCGCATTTCGGTGGTACATACGGAATGAGTTTAGAAAAGAATTTGACAAGAAAAAAACAACTTTCGACACATCAGAACATGGTAGTTTTACGGTTGAAAATTTATCATTTTCGTGATACAAACACATATTCCAACTCGCAACGAATATTTTCAATAACAACAATTCTCTCGTTAGGAACAGAGCAAATAAAAAAAACTAAAAACATCTTGTAGAATGTACGGTATTTCGTCGAATATTTACTGACATGAACACATACGTTCGAAAGCAAAAAATAAAAGAAGGAATTGAGTGTCGTGCGTTACTTTCAGACTGTGCTTAACAAATAATTACGACGATCTCGACTTGTGGAATGTTTTCAATGTGAAAAATAGAACGAATAACGAACGAAAATTTTGGTATAACAAAAAAATAACGGAATAATCTTTTGTTCAACACTGCACAAAATTGCATCAAATTAATAATTCCAATGAAATACAACGCATCAGTATTGGAATTTATGGTTTTTTTTTATTTGTAGTTTCGAAATGAAAATTGTAGTAATCGCGTGCTCGCACGCTTGCAATGTAAAACTACGCATTTTCCTAAAAGGAAATAAATTAAAAGCAATTGCCTTATCTGGGGGTAACATTTTTAATAAATGCTCAGCTGAGACGACAGCAACATTTCCGGGTAAACACACAGTGTTTCAACTTCAAAGTGATCACAATGCTTCATTTTCTCTCTTGCTCTGTCTCAGCAGAGATGAGACAAGCGACCGAGAGAATGAGCAAGCTTTTGGAATTGAGTTTAAATGCGCGCCATTCCAAGTGTGTGATATGTGAATAATATGGAAACATGCAAGACTTATCTTACAAACGCATTGTGGCAATGTAAAGGCATTATGTCGACGCGATCTATGCATAAGTCGACTTCGGAGTCTCTCTCTCTCTCTCCCTCTCATTCACTCATTCACTTCCTTTCTATCTCTTTCTCTCTCTTGCTCGCCTCGCTCATTTCATGTTAAGCTCATGCTAAATATCTCACTGAAAATGCATAAATAGCCGGGAAAGCCCGTAGTAAGAGGACGAAACTTAACCAAACGAAACGAAAATAGCAATGCAATAGATATTTCGTCGCTTGGTTGAAGATTTACTTTTTGCCGGGGCAAGTTTCAACAGTCCGATTCACATTTTCTAGCTGTGTGTGTGTGTGTGTGTGTATTTCGAAAGTGATTTTTGCATCATTGTATTCTTACATCACGATTCTTTGTTCTTTTGCCTGTTTTCTTTCTTTTTCTCCTCTCTCTCTCTCTCACTCCCATTCCATTTTCCTGTCTTTATTTACCAAGACGCGTACACAAGCCATATCGCCTGAAAAACAAGCCAAAATGCAAGACTTCACAAGGCATACACACGCAAATGAATTGAGTTCAAACAGTGCACGAGAACAATAGACTTGCGATCGCCTGCATCATCTGACTTTCTGACCGCATTCATGCAAAACGCATCCAATGCATCTACAGAAAAGTATCATTCGAACGAAATGTGCGGAGAACACATGAAAACGAACGAGAGCGAGCGAGAGTGAATAACAACTAATCTTCTGTCTGGCAGTCAAACTATTGCAACGGAAAATGCGATGAGATGTGTCAGTGCAAATGAAAATCGTACAAATTTGGTAAGGCGAAACAGCCAGCCAGCCAGCCAACAATAGCCAAGTCTTCACTTAAACCGAACCAACAGCAACAGAATTGTGTATAGTATTTTAGCATCCACGTCGAGTGGATGGCATGTGTGTGTATGCATGTGGCTATCTTTAATGCCAAAGCACTTGATGTATGGATTATGTTTTCCGAATTGTTTGCGATGAACTGAATGCTTATTGAAACAGAAGGGGTTGTTCGCTCTCAAGCAAGACTATGAGTGAGTGAAAAGCGTAGCGTAAGAAAGAAACGAGAGAGAGGGAGAGAGGGAGAGAGAGAGAGAGAGAGAGAGAGAGAGAGAAAGAGGAAAAAAGACGCAACACATTTCAAGCGCCAATAAATTCCCGTGTACTTTTCTAAATAAATATGCAAGTTGAAAATATAGTGTTGTATGTATGTTTGTAAACGCAGCGTGCCTGATGCGTTTGAAATTGATATATTTACTGTCCACAAGAGCCGAAACCTCATATATTTATACACATACAGCATACACATCGTTGCCAACGATTCGCTTCGGTGTCATTTCCAAATGACTTAACACTTTCTGACATCTTTTCATTTTTATTGCAACAACATTTTTCAATTCGTTGGAAATTCTCAGCGGCGTGCATAAAAAGGTGTAACGA